TTTTTAATCAACTCTGCCAATGTCTGTCTTTTAATTTATGTATTTAGACCATTCATATTTAATGTAATGATTAATATGTTAAGAGTTTGTCTACCATTTTATTTTGTGTTTTCTGTTTTCTGTTGTCTTTTACTTGCCTTCCTGTGAGTTACTTAAACATTTTTTTAATTCCCTTTTGATTTATCTATAGTGATTTTGATTGTATCCTTTTGTGATAGCTTTTTTAGTGGTTCTGCTGGGTATTACATTATATATACCAACTTATCAGAGTCTACCAGTGTCATTGTTTTACTAGTTCAATTGAAATGCAGAAACCTTACCTCCCTTTATGTCCCTTTTCCCTCCACTGTTTATAATATAATTATGTTAAATATTTCCTCTACATACATTTATAACCACATGAAGCAGTCTTTTAATTTTTACTTCAACTGTCAAACATTTAATAAAACTCAAGAGGAGAAGGAAAAGTGTATTGTATTTAGCCATATTTTGCTTACTATATTCTTTCTTTCTTCCTGATGTGTTAAGGCTCCTTCTTTGATCATTTCATTTTTATTTAGAGAACTTCCTTTAGCCATTCCTTTAGGGTAATTCTACTGGAGACAAATTCTTTTAGTTTTCCTTCATCTGAGAATGTCTTGAATTCTACTTGATTACTAAAGCAATTCCTGGGTCATTCCTGAAGGACAATTTTTTGGTTATAGGATTCTGAGTTAACAGTTATTTTCTGTAAGCACCTGAAAAATATTGTGCAACTTTCTTCTGGCCTTCATGGTTTCTAACAAGAAAGTTGTCCCACTTTCTGCTCCTTTTTTAAGTTTTTTCTCTCTGTGTCTAATTTTTGATAATTTTTATTGCTGTGTCTTCAAGTTCATTAATCTTTTCTTTAGTGCTACTTAATCTGTTAATCCCATCTATTGTATATTTCATCTCAGATATTGTACTTTTCATCTCTAGAAATTTGAGTTGGATCTTTTTTTATATCTCTCATGTTTTTTCTTAATATACTCTCCTCTACCTTCTTGAAATATAGAATATAGTTATAAATTTTTTATGTACTCATCTACTAATTCTATCATCTGTATTATTTCTGGGTTAGTTATCATTGATTGATTTTTCTCCTCATTATAGGTGATAGTTTCCTGTTTTTCTGCATGCTTGTTTATTTTCTTTCTTTCTTTTTTTTTTCTTTTTTTTTGTGAGGAAGATCAGCCCTGAGCTAACATCCATGCTAATCCTCCTCTTTTTGCTGAGGAAGAGTGGCTCTGAGCTAACATCTATTGCCAACCCTCCTCGTTTTTTTTCCCCAAAGCCCCAGTAGATAGTTGTACGTCATAGTTGCACATCCTTCTAGTTGCTGCATGTGGGACGTGGCCTCAGCATGGCCGGAGAAGCGGTGCGTCGGTGCGCGCCTGGGATCCGAACCTGGGCTGCCAGTAGTGGAGCGCGCGCACTTAACTGCCAAGCCACGGGGCCAGCCCTATGCTTGTTTATTTTCAATTGGATGCCAGACATTGTGAATTTTACCTTGAATGGGTGCTGGGTATTTTTTATTCCTGTAAATATTCTTGAGGTCTGTTCTGAGATGCAGTTAATTTACTTGTAAACAGTTTGTCTTTTTGAAGCTTGCTTTTAAGCTTTGTAAGGTTGGCCCACAGTAGCCTTTAGACTAGGCCTAATTTGGTCCCACTACTGGGACGGTACTCTTCTGAGTACCCTGATCTGATGCCCTGTGTATTATGAGATTTTTTTCAGTCTGACTGGTGGGAACTGAAGTGAGCTCCAGGGATTCTTTCCTATGATTCTTTCCCCTGCCTTAGATAATTTCTTCACATGCATATTCTGATGAGCGCTCAGCTGAATACTCAAGGAGGACCGCTCTACAGATCTCTGGAGCTTGCTTTTTATACAGCTTTCTTCTCTTCAGTATTCTGCCCTGTAAATTCTAGCTGAATTGGGCCTCTTGAACTCCCCAGCCCATCTCTTCGACTCAGGGAGATTGTTGGACTCTACCTGGCTTCACCTTCCCTGAACTGCAGCCTGCAAGGTGGCTTGCCTTGTTTGTTTCTGCTTTCACAGGGATCACTGTACTATGTTGCCTGTTGATTAATATTTGAAAACTGTTCTTTCATATATTTTGTCTAGATTTTTAGTTGTTTAAGGTGGGGAGGGTAAGTCCAGTCTCCTATTTTGTCTTGGCTCATAGTGGAGATTTTTTGGAGATAGACAATAAACAAGCAAAATGTAAACAAATATATCAGGTGGCTATAAGTACTATAGAGAAACCTGAAGCAAAGAAGAGAGATGAAGAGTACCAAGAGGATTGTAATTTTAAATAGCATGGTGAGAGAAGGACCAGATTGAGAAATTGACTATTCTGATTATCTTTTGCTATATAATAGTCTGCCCCCAGACTTAGTGACTTTTGCTCACAGATGTGCAGTTTGGGCAAGGCTGGGCTGGGACAGCTTGTTTCTGCTTTGCTAGGCATCAGCTGGGGCAGCTGAAATACCAGGGGCTGGAATCATCTGAATGCTTTCTCACTCAACATGTATGGTGGTTGATGCTGGTTGCCAGCTGGGATTTCATTTTGGCTGTGGCTGGAACATCTACACATGACCTTTCCATGTGGCTGCTTGGCTCTCACACAGCATAGTGGCCAGGTTCCAAGGGCAAGCGTCTGAGAGAGAGCCAGGAGGAAGCTGTATTGCCTTTTCTAACCCAGCCTTGGAAGTCATGTTGTGTATCACAGGAAGCCAGTAAGGCTGGCCCATAGTTAAGAGGACTGGAATTAGATTCTGGTTCTTGCTGGAGGCATGTCAAAGAATTTGTGGGCGTATTTTAAAGTCACAACAATGATATTTGAGCAAAGAGGGTGAGGAGATCCAGGAGAAGAGCATTCCAGATACAGTGAACAGAACTGTGGAGGTTCTGAGGCTGGTGGATGCCTGATGCTTTAGATTTGTTTATGATTGAGTTCCCACTGTGCAGTGTCAGCTCCTTGAGGGCAGGGGCTTTCCTCACTGCTATTTTCTCAGCACCTAGAACAGTGTTTGACAGGTAGTTGTAGTTCAATTCTTATTTGTGAAAGAGAGAGTCAGCCTTTTGGCACCATGTGTCAAAAATCCTAAAAATGAGTACATAACCTTTGATCTAGTATTCTTTCCTTGGAAAATTATCTTCAGGAAAAAAAATGTACAAATAAGCAAAACTAGTGAAAATTTGAAGACACCTAAATGCCTGTTAGTAGCAGATTAGTTAAGTAAAGTATGATTTGTCTATGTAACAGACCAGTGGAGTTGTTTTTTGTTTTTGGGTTTTTTTTGCTGAGGAAGATTTGCCCTGAGCTAACATCTGTCACCAATCATCCTTTTTTTTTTTGCCTGAGAAAGATTAGCCCTGAGCTAACATCTGTGCCAGTCTTCCTCTATTTTGTGTGTGGATTGCCACCACAGTATAGCTGACGAGTGGTGTAGGTCTGCACCTGGGATCTGAACCCGCAAACCCGGGCTGCCGAAGCAAAGCATGCCAAACTTAACCACTACACCACTATGGCCGGCCCTTGGAACACTGCAGTGTTTAAACTAAATGTTTTGGGCACAGAAAGATGAATGAGTGTTGAGGAACAAGGAGAGAATTCAAATAATGGTGTACAGAATGATCCTATTTGGTTAATAATTAATAATCTATATAATAAATATATACATAGAATGGAGAGGGATCTGATAGGATGTATACCAAATTGTTAATAATTGTTACAGGGGTTATATTAGAGTTGCTTTTTAAAAAGCTATGTGTTGCTATTATAATAGAAATAATTTCTATCGTAAAAGCAAATAATATAAATTTTTTTTATTGATGTAGAATAGTATCCAAGTTACTGTGAGTAATAAAAACCACCTTTTGAAACAATATGTTAGTCTGTCTTTTTATTAATTAAAGAGATGGGGAAAGCAAAATTTGTACAGAAAAAGTGTAGAATGAGGTAAAACCAAGATTTTTTCAAGAGATTATCTCTTGATTATAGGTTATTTTTATTTCCTTTTATATATTTCTGCATTTTCTTAATTGTTACAATAAGTTTATCTCATAATATGGAAGAGATTTATATTAAAGAAAATAGTTATGGGGGTAATGTTAAGCAGCCTTACTTTAAGAATATGTATCATGTGGAAAATCCAAATTTATAAAGTAGCAAAATCAGGGATCTCTTGGTTTCCCTGCAGAGTTCCGTTAATGGACTCAAAATATTTTATGACCTAGAAAGAGAAGGACAAATGCTGTATGATCTCACTTATATGTGGAATCTAAAAAAACTGAACTCATAGAAACAGAGAACAATTGGTGGTTGCCAGAGGCAGCAGTGGAGTGGGGGTGGGAGAAATAGGTTAAGGGGGTCAAAAGGTACAAGCTTCCAGTTATAAGATAAATAAGTTCTGGGGATGTAATGTGCAGCGTGGTGACTATAGTTAACAATACTGTATTGTGTATCTGAAAGTTGCTAAGAGAGTAGATCTTAAAAGTTCTCATCACAAGGAAAAAAACTGGTAACTCTATGAGATGATGGATATTAACTTATTGTGGTGATATTTTCACACTATAGTCATGTGTCAAATCATTATGTTGTATACCTTAAACTAATACAATGTTATATGTCAATTATATCTCAATAAAACTGGGAAAAAATATTATGTGACTTAGAACATTTGATTTATACACAATTCTTAAGCTATCACTCTTTGTTAAAATGTGGTTGTTTTCCATTTTAATATTATTCTTTATCACTATAGCACAGATTTTCAGTAACCTTACAGGAGTAATTGAGGCCTAAAATAAAAATTACAAATGTAATTTATGAATAAAATCTTAGATGACGTGATAATACTTTAATACATATTTTGTTGCAAAAATGTCTTTCGGTTAATTTTTCTCATTTCACTGTCTTACCTCTTTATTTTAAAGAAATAATTTGTAACTCATTTTGTTCTTATATACCATAGGATGTGTTTTGGAGATGCAGACAAAATATCTTTGATGAAATGAAGAAGAAATTTTTACAGGTAGACTGCTGATGTAATTGCTTTAGTGTGATAATCAGCAGAGCAAGTAACAGCATGTTAGTATTTTTATTTAATAACAAGGCATGTCTTAAGTTTTATGCTTGTTTGGCTATTTTATTTCTACATGATTTTAATAATAAGAAAGTGACCTTAAAAGACTATGTGTCTCATAATCCCTTGTTTTTTAACAAGTGATTGAGGGGGAAAACTGATATAAAAACCACAGGACTCTTTGTTTTGACTTCGAGTATATTAGTTGTCTCTTTTTTATGGATATTTTCTGAAATAATAATAGTGTTGGGATTAAATCATTTAATAATGTAGAGTCAAACCCCAGAAATCTTATTTGAAGAATTAAATAAAACTATTACCTTCCTGACAGGCCGTATATGCTACAAACCTAAATTTTCCTGTGATGTAGCATCCCATTCTACCCTTTACTTAATAACTCATTTTCCTCAGGTCCCTTCAGCTCTAAGTTTTTTCCCCAAGGTTCTTCCGTTAATCTCTTCTATCCTCTCCAAGTGATCTGTGGCAAGAAATCACTCAGAAAAAGATCATATAACATCAGAGTTTGCTGGGGCAGTCGGAGTGGAGGGGAGGGAGGATCTTAAATATAAAATAATCCTTGTTTTCATGTACGTTAGGACCCCCATCTCTACTCCAGGAATTGTCGCTTGTTAGAGTAAAAAGCACGGTCTGAATGAGGCTGATAAATTTTGATCAGCAAAAATAGTCACACCATCAATTCTCTTTTTTAATGTATAGCAGTATATTCACCATGAACTATGGGTATCCAGAAGGGTAATGTGCTAAGGCACATTTCTTAGCTCATAGCAGCTCCTGTATCATGAAGTAGATAAAAGGGACTTACTTGTGTGTGATGTGGGTATTTTTATTTTTGATTTTTGTGAGGAAGATTAGCCCTGAGCTAACATCTGATGCCAATCCTCCTCTTTTTGCTGAGGAAGATCGGCCCTGGGCTAACATCTGTGCCTATCTTCCTCTACTTTATATGGGATGCCACCACAGCATGGCTTGACAAGCGGTGCGTCAGTGCGCGCCCGGGACCAACCTGCGAACCCCCGGCCACCGCAGTGGAGCACGCGCACATAACCACTGCGCCACTGGGCCAGCCCCTGGTGTGTGTATTTTTAAGTTTGCAACTGTAATATTATTCTTTGTAATTAAGTTGAAAAGAAGAAAGTCTTGAGAGAAAAATGGGTTGACTATTAAATTTAGAGGTTAAGGGGTCCCTTCATAATGTTTTAAAATTCTTTGTCTTAATTTTTTCTCTTAAAAAATCTGAATCTTGATAACTTTGGATTATATTTGATATTAAGTTGTTTTCTACATGCTAATGCCATTCTAAATATATAGCATCAATTGTACACTTTGTTTTGTGTTTTTTAATACAAAACACCAGGAAGTAATTTTTATGAAACAAAAATTATGATGTTAACTTCAGAGAACTCAGATTTGAAGTTAGACCTATTAGGAATGCCGAGAAAAGGAGACAAAATGACCTCTTAGGCAACCAAACATGCCTTTAGCAGGCTCTGAGATATCTTAGACAGAACAACTATGTCGACCTCTTCTAAGTGTTCCTAGCAGGGAACCTTTCTGGAAGAAAAATATGTCTTCAATATTTTTATCCTTATACGTTTTACCTTTTGTAAATAAAGACTATGGTTTTATTCTTTTTTTACTTTGTTTTTTCAAGAATTCTTTCTTCAGACTTTGCTAGGAAATCTAGCTTTGTTTCCTCAGTGAGCACAGACAAACACAGACGGAACACTCTCTTCGCATACACCAGTGTTAATATAACTGCTGTTGACTTTTCCCTTATTCTCACAAGTGTAATATTGCTCTGAGTTGTCCATAAAATAAGTAGTTTTAATTTCATGCTTTATGCCTTTTTTGTACTTGGCTAGATTTTCTGTGGGGAGAACTTTGTGCCCCTCTAATAGCACACCAAAGGTATATTAAATGTTTTGCCTAGTGGAACATGCTTTAAGGTTTTCTAAAACTTTGCACTTGTTTTCTCTTATTCATCATAGAACTCTTTTGACTCAAAAATTGTGCTCCTTTCCCTAAATTATGATGTGTCCTCAGATACCTTACCTTAATGTTGGGTGTAATACTTAAATGGACACCCTCCCCCATCACTAACACTACCATTACCACATCCTTCCCAATTGGAGCTTGCGTGTGCTTAAATGTATTTAGGTGTGTTTTTGTTATCTATTGCTATGGAACAGCCTACCCTAAAACTTAGTGGCTTAAAAAAACAACTAATTTATTTGCTCACAATTCTGTGGGATGGGATTTGGGCAAAGGCTCAACTGGTCAGTTTTTCTGCTTCACGTGGCATCATCTGGGATCATTACTTGGCTCCATTTGGGTGGTGCCTGGCTTTGGATGGAATATTCAAGAAGGCTTTTCTCACATGTCAGGCATCTCTGTGCTCCACTAAGTAGCTGCTTTCTCTCTGTGTGGATTGTGAGGGCTTCCTCACAGCATGGTGGCCCCAGGGTAACTGGGTTTCTTTTTTTTTTATGTTATGGTAACTGGGTTTCTTTTGTGGTGGCTGGCTTATAAGAGGGAATGTTCCAAGGGGTGCAAAAGCGGAAGCTGCTGATTTCTTAAAATCCACCTTAAATCACACGGTATCACTTCTATCACATTCTCTTGCTCCTAGCTGGTCACAAGGCCAGCCTAGGTTTGTGGGAAGAGGGAAGAGAAAAAGAGTGGCAAAGAATTTTTAGCCATCTTTAATCACCTCAAGATGATACTGCTTTTTCCTTTGGGCATAGGTAGGATCAATCAGGAGTAGAGCTCCAAAGAAATTAAGAAGAAAGATAGCTACCCTACATTTCCAATTCTACGAAACACCTTTTTACATTTAAATGTTTTAGAAATCTGCATGTTTAATATAATATTGTAGAGATTTTTTTTCTCTTGAAAAGCTGTTATAAAATTATTGGTACACCTAATTGATGATATCTTAGAATTGAAAAAAAAATTTTTTTTCTTAGCAGTTTCCAAATTGGGGAGTTGGAGGGAGGAGAGAGATTTCACCTCAGTGTAATTAGTGTTGGCAGTAGTGATATCAAAAATTTAGTTGCAGTTCGTGGATGATAACCACATGTTAGATTAAATTAGAAATAAAGAATGGGCCAGAAGTTTGGATATAAAGTAATGGGATTTACAAGTGGCTATCTTAGAGCTTTAAAGAAGAGCAGAGCTTTTTGTTTGTTTAATTAAATTATCCTAGAATTGAATTCAAGAGTAAAATGTGGTTGGCCCAGAAATTCTGCTTATAGGAATTTTAAAGAAACAGAAAAGTGCAGAAAGTTTTATGTAGGTGTTCTTCACAGAATTATTTCTGAAGTGTAATAAAGTCTAGCCTAAGAGTCAGTAAAATAAAATTGATGGGACAAATGATTATTAGTCCATGTAATAAAATACTATTCAACTGTTAAAATGATGAGTTAAAAAAAATTTGACAGGGAAAGATTACATGATATATTTATAAGTAAAGAAAGAAGTTACAAAACAGCATGTATATCCTAACCCAGTGTTTGTGTTTAAAAAGTGTGCATGCATATGTCTGTGTGTGTATAGGAAAAATATTTGGAAGGATATACACCAAAATGTTAATAGTTATCTGTGTGTTGTGAGATTATGAATGATTTCCACTTTTTCCTTTATAATCTTTCTGTTTAAAAAAAAAAAGGAGTGAAATTACTCACATGCAATGCACAAAAAAGAAAGCTATGGTTATTAAAAAGAATAGAAGGCATTCATGAGATTAAATTTTGTGTTTACTATAGTACACTTAGTCTTCAGATGAGTTGCCATTGGGGGTAATTTCCCCACATTTTTGGGTAGAAGGATAGGAGGCTTGTGCTCACATATTTAGGGAAAGAACCAGGAACTGCTAATGTCTAGGCATACGATGTTGGCAAATCACCATTCTTAATGTATACTACTATGTCAGCACTTCTGATTTCTGAATTCTTAGGTAGGGTCATCTTCTTTGAACCATCAACTCCAACCTATCTGAAGGTTTAAAATCTGACCACTATAATATTTTATACCTGGAAACTAGGATCTTCCTCTGAAGTATACTGTTTATAAAAGTGGATCTTTTGTAGTTGAAATTTATTTTGAGTTGCTCACTCTTTTATTGTAAACCACAGTTTTAAAAAAGGTCCATTTTATGTTCCCAGTTTGGAATTAAAATATGTAAAACAATCCATTACATATGTCAGTGTAGCCCCTTAAGTTTATAGGTGAAGGATTTTTTTCCTTTCTGAGAAGTGTATTAGTAATGCTTTTTTGGTTATCCTATTTATTTTATAGAAATGTATTTTCCTTTTCATTTTTGTGGATTATTGTTGGTAATTAGTTTGATTTGTCTGAAATATAGTGCTAGCCAATCTGTTTTAAACATTATAATTCTTTAGCAATTTATTTCTGTTCTAAATTAATTGGGTTACCTTAATTTAAATAATCTTTTGCAGACCTAAAATTGTATATGGTAGAAACAAATTATACAAGGGATACATTCTGAGAAATACATCGTTAGGCGATTTCATCATTGTGTGAACATCGTGGAATATACTTACACGAACCTAGATGGTATGGCCTATCACACACCTGGACTATATGATACTAATCATATGAGACCACTGTCGTGTATGCAGTCTATTGGTGACCGAAACGTCATCATACAGCACATGTCTGTAGTTGTATTACCCAAACAAACAAACAAAAAAACCTTGTGGCTATCCTGTCTTTAATACTAGTCAATCATAATATAATTATTCTTATTTAAAAATGGATAATATAGAATCAATAAAAGGTTGAGGTTGATATTGTTGTAAAAACACAAGGAAAGAAATGAATTCTTATATACAGCACCAGTTTGTACAGTTCATATTTCTGAAAAGTCTATTATGGGGATGGTGAGAGGTCCCCCAGTTAAATGACTGCTGACTTGACTTTGATGGAAAGCAAGAGATTTACACAGTCGAATTTCCATATTAAAATACTATTTTGGATTGAAGGAAGACAAGATTGGAAGAAGTTAAACTTCTCAGGAACCTATTGCCATAATCTCGGTGTAAGATTCTGATTGCTGCAGACAGGAATAAAGAGAAAGGGGGTAGTTCAAGAGATATTCAAAAGGTAGAACTGATAGAATGTGTGAGGTGAATAAGAGGGAGGAGACAGGAAATGCTCACCTCTGATTTCAGCAGCTGGTAGATAATGGTGCCATTCATTGAGTCAGGCATTACAGGAGAAGGAAGGAAAGAACTTCTTCCACTAAAGTGTCTGATGGAGCTTATTACCCTTGGGGAAAGTGGAAATGAAAAGCAGTGTCCTTCAACAGCTTGAGGGAGGGTGTAGCTTCTTTGAGAATGTCTCCTTTTAAAAATTTTTGTCCTGATAATTACTGAGTTACGCACTAGATGAAAAAGTAGGAAGGATAATTTGTGACCCTGACTCTCATTACCAATTACATTGGTAATTGAAAAGTTTTTTTCCTTGCTTTTCCCTCCCCCTCTGCTGGCTGATCTGTTTGGATAAGTTTGTCAGCTCCCAACACATTGATAATGGGCTTTTTGGACATCTGGTCCATGGGTACAGCAGCATAAAGGTCAGGAGGGCTGGTGCCTCTGTCCTTTAGTTACGAATTTTGCCGTCCTAGACAATCTTCAGTGCATTTCTACACAGTTCCCTTTCTCTTTCTTCAGGAGACCCAGAAATGCTTGATTTGACTGTGCTAGCTTGGTAATGACACATTTTTAAGGATCAGATTTTGTTATTTTCAACTGAAAACTGCTAAGTATACTATCTTTATGGCTTGTTGACCGTTGATTTACAATCTTAAAAGGTGAAAGCAAACATCCACAAGAATGACTATTGATTCTTAAATATGCCCCAGGTTTTCCAAAACAAACGTATATACTGCTTTATATGTTTGACATATTCATTAGAGTGTGTTTCAGACGCAATAAAATAGTAATACTAACACAGAGAAAATAATATTTTGTGGGATTTTTTTTTACATTTAATCATAGAAAATATGGCTAATTATAGTTGTTTTGTTTTCCTTTAAAGATAAATAATATGTTTTTTTTTTTTATTATTTCAGATAGAAAATGCTGCTGAAGAACCTAGAGTTTTATGTATAATACAAGATACTACTAATTCAAAGACAGTGAATGAACGGATCACTTTAAATTTACCAGCTTCTACTCCACTCAGAAAGCTCTTTGAAGATGTGGCCAACAAAGTAGGCTACATAAATGGAACCTTTGATTTGGTGTGGGGAAATGGAATCAATACTGCTGATATGGTAAAATCCTAGACTTAAAGCATCTTCTCTTAAGCTGCTAATAATATTGTAGTCATTATTGTTGTTGTTGTCATTGATGAGTATATTAAATCCTGGAACTATCTTTAATATCATAAGCAAAACTATACCAACTACATTAAGAGCCTGTGTGCAACTCAATGATTGGATCCCTCTTTGTCCCGTTGCCTTGGTTCTGGATTCAACATTTACTTATCCTAAAGTTTGCTTAATGTAATTTAATTAGTTTTTTTTTTTAATTCATGTAAGGTGACTATCATAATATCGTGTCGATACAGAAAATTTTCCAGTATTTACTGAATGGAATGATATTCATCTTGTATTTTTTAATGAAAAAAAGCACTATATAAAATCGTATATATTTTGTAATCTAATTTTTGGAAAAGAAGAAAACATGTCTATAGAAAGAGAAAGGAGTGGAAGGATATACACCCCAATGTTAACAGAGATTATGAAGCAGATAGAGTGATAGGCCCCTGATCAGGAAGTTTGGTGGTACCGTGACTTCTGCTTCAAGGATCTCACAGTCCAGTTGTAGAGACAGATGTGTCAACAAATAATTACACTAACATGTTTTAAGTAGTGTATTATAAATTTGCTATGAGTGCAGAGGAGGCATTGATCAATTTTGCATGGGAGAGTGGCAAAGGAAACTTGAGTTGGCTTTCATCTACACTACTAAATACTCTTTTTTGTTTCCTGTCTCAGTCCAAATTGACCCTGCATACTCCTGTTAGAATTATCTTCAGTCATCTTAAATGATAGCACTCGTGTCACCTTCCAGTTCAGAGACATTCAGTGACTGCTCACTGCCCACTGATTAAAAATCAGTTTCCTTAGGTTAGCATTCAAGACAAGCTACAATTGGTCATTTAAATCTTTGTAATCTTAACTCCTAATACCAGACTAATGTATTTTCTTAGTGCAAATTTCCATACTTTTCCATCTCTGTGTTTTTGCTTATAGTACCTCTTGCTGTCCTATGCTATTGCTGCTCTTAAATTTTCTAGAAAAATACCTCTAATGGCAAATGAAACTGACCATGTATCCCTAGGGTATTTGGAGGGCATAGTTTTAATTCTCTCCATTGAAAAATGTTGCCTAATTTGTCTTTAAAATTCATGATGTTTTGCTGTCTATCCCATAATATGTTTGTGTTTTTTAAAAATATAAAACTAATGTGTTAAATTAGTCAATGTTTTCTCTCTGAACTTGATCAGTAAAATTGGTACTCCAACAAGATATATAAAGAGAAACAATATTTAATCTGAAACTTTGAATACTCTCTGTTTCAGCACCATGTAACTTCTGGTATTACCTCTTTTCCAGTTTAAAGGATAGTCTGTGGTACTGTCATATATGTTTACCCAGTCCTATTTATCTTTTCCTTTTAAGAAGCCTTACTTGATGTTTTCTCATGCCACTTTAAAAGTAATCTCTTTCTCTTTGTCCTCCTATTGCACCTTTTCTTCTGCTATATTGCTTATCATAGTCTCTTTTTATTATAGTTGTTACTCATTTGTGTCTTTCCATTTGGTAGAATGTAAGTATTTTGATGGCTGGGACCTCATAGTATTAGTTTTGTATCCTCCATAGGTACACCCCCTAAGCACTCAAATTAACTTCTGTAATAGCTTTATATAGCTCTCTATCAGGTTTACCTGTTTCTCTTTCTTCAGCTGTGACTGTTCTCAAGTACTCAATTTCTGTATTTTTATTTGCCCACCGTACATTTCTGCAGCTATACTCTTTCACCTGCTTACTGCACAATGCTGCATGTATCCTTCTCTGAAGACCTAGCCCATTTAGCTACCCACCACCTCTTACACACAGACACATTTATTGATGTAAAACCTCTATGTATCCAAGCTATATTATCTGATCTTTTATGTCCTGCCAGAGATTGTAAGGGACCCAAAGTGACCTTTCCTCTTTCCATGTGGCTTCTCTTAGCTTCAGGTTTTCTATGTCCTGTTTTTCTCATGGATTTTTAGATGTGAGCCAAAGTTAAGAAATAGATCAGAGAGTTTGTTATGTTATTTCCTTGACACTTATTTTGCACTTACTAGGTGCCCAGTATTGTTCTGATACTAGGTTCTATACAAATATAACCTCATTTAGGCCTTATAACCGCTCTGTGAGGTAGGTGCTATGACAGCCTCATGTGATAGCTGAGGAAACTGAGTCATGAGGAAGTGAGGGAACTTGCCCAGAGTCACACAAATAGCAAGTGGCAGAATCTCTTACAGTTAATTTTTTTGTCCTTAATACCTGTACTTTTATATAATGTTAATTTCCTAAGAAATACATTTCCAGAAAATAAATCCTTCTAAGGAGACATTCCTCATGTCTTTGAAACATTAAAAACATTTCTTAGTGTAGCAAAATAGTTTTAAAACTAAAGAATAGGGTATTCATCCCATCATTCATTTTTCTTAATAATGGACTGAAGTGTGGGTAAGTAGGGCTTAGGGCTTACAGAGTTCCATCTCTCATCCACGAACTAGAGTGTATCAGAGTGACAGGTAGGGTTGAAATCCCCCACCAGATAAACGAGTTAGGTGAAGACTTTAGGAGTGATTACCTCTATCTCCCTGGGATCCTCTGGATCCTGGCAGTGAACTGGAAATAGGTATCATTTACTAAGACAAGCTTTTCCTTAAGGACTCTTTCTGAAGGTGCCCATTTTGTTATATTACATAGTTATTTTGGTTGGGTTGTTAGAGTATGTTGCTTATCTGGGGATTCTCATATTCATATATCAAAACATGTTTTTCTAGTTTTTAGTTATATAAATTATCTTTAATTTTCATGAAAGTCCATTAAATACTGTATTGCATATATTTTAGAGAACATAGAAACACAAATTCTATAATTCTTTTTTTTTTTTCTTGTAGTACTTAACATTACTTCTTAACCTTTACCTTTTCTCTCTTCAGTTTTTTATTTTTTTTTTTTTT